CTTCCATGTTCAGGCCCCTATTTTGCTCTATTTTCTCTTCATAGCCCTTTTCCTTCTATCATCCAATTTGGTATACTTATTGCTTAGGTTTATTGTTTATATCTGCTTTTTTCCTGCTCTAATGTGAGCTCCCGGGGGGGAGGATTTTTGTCCACTTTGTTCCCGGCTAAGACCCAGCACCTAGAACAACGCCTGGCCCCCAGTGGACAATGGGAGAGAAGAATATATGAGAGCCACTCTGTCCTCGGCCAACATGGGCACTCAGCCCACAGAACTGCTTCTAGAGCAGATACACCTGATCACATGACACCAGTGAGTGCAAATTGGTCTGTGTTGCTGGCTTTCTGAGGCCGTTGCAAGTGGAAATGGAGACACTCAGGTTTGAGTCCCGCCTGTAGCTTCAGATCGACTATTCAATCTCACCATGTCCCAGTTTCCTCATCATTCAAATGGGGATTCATAATTGTGAGACATGAATGAAACCACCTGTGATTGCCCTTGTCAGGCCACAGTGTGGTGTCTAGCACAGGCCAGCACTCAAAGATGGGAGCCCAAAATGAGTCTGTAAAAGGCACCTCCTTAAAGCTCAAAAGCCATTTCCCTAGAAAATTAATGGAAAAAATAAACAAACTATTGCTGGAGCTCATGAGAAAGGCTTGGAAATTGAACTGAAAGCTTGTGATCAGCTAAAGTCCGCTGTCAACTTGGTGGCTGTTTCTGAGGACTCACCTCACATTTGGCCCCGGTTCCAGGGACAAGCTGGACTTCAGTAAGCAGGGCTCAGCTTTGATAAAACCAAAGATGGTCAGAGGTCAAAAGCCACATAGAAATGATGCAGTTTGTAAGTCATCCTTCCTGGTCAGCAAGTAGAAGCCTGGGGAGGTATGTTGACCCAGGATTACAGGACTGGTGTGGCCACAGGCCAGGTGGAGGGAGGACCAGCTAGATGACTGATGGGGGTCACAGGTGAAGCACCTCGGGGTGGGGGGGGAGGTGACGATTGGATGAGTCCTTGTTGACCCAGGGTCCTTCCAGCTGGGGGAGGGGACAGCTTTGCCCAGATCTATGTGGGTTTTGCTGCTTAACATGACCATCAATAACTGACTGTGACAAGGAATAAAAATATGTCCGTTGCAATACAAATGTGCCTCGGTGTCTTCTTTGTGAGGAAGAACTGTGCCACTGCCTGTTTCCAAGCCTACAGCCTGAGCTTCCTTTCCCAGCTTTTAAGATGCTGTTCCTCTCCCTTCCTAACAGTGCTGGAGCAGGTTTTCCTTGCTTCAAGTGGGCAGTGCCTCTTTGTGAGACCATGCAGGCTGGGGCCTCCCCCTGGCGACCACTAGTGGTACGGCATTCCAGGACAGCGCGCAGGCTGTTGATGTGCAGGAACGCTTCTGGAAGGGCTGAGAGTGACTGTGGGAACAAGGGAAGCTATATGGGCAGCACACCATTTTATTTGGGTCCCATGTTTACATGAGAAAAGGAAGGCACAAGAGACTATGTTAGTCACCTTTTGGTCGCTGTGACAGAATACCTGAGACAAACAACTTAATCAGGAAAGATGGTTTTGTCCATGGTAGGTTGGCTCCATTGCTTCTGGGCCTGTGGTGAGGCAGAGCATCATGGCAGACAGCGTGTAGGGGAAGGAATGGTAAAGCAGAGCCACTCACTCATGGTGGCCAGAAATCAGAGTGAGAGGGAAGGTTCCTGGTGACAAGATATGCCCTTCAAAGGCAAACCACCAGTGACCCACTTCCTCCAACAGGGCCCACCTCTGAATAGCCCATTCAGTGTGAACTCATCAGTAGATTAACCCATCCATGAGGTAACGCCCTCCTGAGCCAATCACCATCAACTGGACCAACCTTCAACACATGAACTTCTTTGGGGGATACCTCATATCCAAATCATAACAGAGACCCCACTGCCCTACCCCAGGCCACACTGGCTTGTTCCTTCAATGCCCCTTAGGTAAATTTAGCACTTATTAGCCAGGTGCTGGTGGCTCATGCCTGGAATCCTAGCTACTCAGGAGGCAGAGATTAGGAGGATCATGGTTCCAAGCCACCTGGGCAAATAGTTCTGCTAGACATAAGCTCTACCAACTGAATCACTCTGCTAGCCCTGTTTATTTTCTTGATGACAATCATTCTAGCTGGAATGAAATGGAATCTCAGTGTCTTTTTTTTTTTTGCTGGGACTGGGGTTTGAATTCAAGGCTTCATGCTTGCAAAGCAAGTTTTTGCTATTTGAGCCATACCTGCAGTCCATTTTGCTCTGGTTATTTTGGAGATGGGGGTCTCTATTTGCCTATTTGCCTGGGCTAGTCTCGAACCTCAACCCTCCCATCTCAGCCTCCCAAGTAGCTAGGATTACAGGTGTGAGATAGTGGGACCTGGCTCTCAGAGTCATTTTGATGTGCATTTCCTTTATGACTAAAGATGATGAGCATTTCTTCATGTATTTATGGGCTGTTTGTATTTCTTCTTTTGAGAAATGCCTGTTCATTTGCCCATTTATTAATTGAATGATTGATCCTTTTGGTATTTAATTTTTGAGCTTTTTAAAATATATTCTGAATATCAATCCCTTGCCAGATAAATATCAGAAGATTTTTTTCCCCAGCTAGTCTGCTGTCTCTTCATTCTGGTGATTGTTTCCTTGGACATGCAGAAGCTTTTTGCTTTGATGTAATCCTATTTGTCAGTTCTTGTTCTTATTTCCTGAGCAATTGGTGTCCTATTCAGAAAGTCATCGCCCATGCTTATATCTTCAAGTGTTTTCCCATAGTAGATTCAAAGTTTCAATTTCTACATTAAGGTCTTTGATCCATTTTGAATTGATTTTTTGTACAGAGTCAGAGATAGGGATCTAGTTTCAGTCTTTTACATGTGGATATCCAGTTTTCCCAACACCATTTGTTGAAGAGGGTGCTTTTTCTCCAATGTATGCTTTTGGCACCTTTGTCAAAGGTCAGAGGACTGTAGCTGTGTGGGCTTGTTTCTGGGTCTTCTATTCCATTGGCCTATGAGTCTGTTTTCAGATTCAATGCAATCCCCATCAAAAAAAAAATTTTTTTTTGGCGGTACTGGGGCTTGAACTCAGAGCCTGCATCTTGAGCCACTCCACCAGCCCTATTTTTGTGAAGAGTTTTTTGAGATAGGGTCTCTCAAACCATTTGCGTGGGCTGGTTTTGAACCGGGATCCTCCTATTCTTTGCCTACGGAGTAGCTAGGATTACAGTTGTGAGCCACCAGTACCCAGCTGCAATCCCCATCAAAATTTTAATGACATTTTTTGCGGGGAGGTACTGCAGTTTGAACTCAGGGCTTCATCCTTACAAGGCAGGTGCTCTACCACTTAATCCACACCTCCAGCTCTACAAGAGGCATTTTGAACTACTAATAAACATGACCAGAAAGAACAAATCCACATCATACCATGATTAAAATATCAGGATTGGAGAATGAAGAAAAGATACTGCAAGCTACAAGAGAAAAATGTCAGCTTACATACAAAGGTAAACACTAAGGATCACCTCAGTCCTCTCAGCACAATCCCTAACCAAAAGCCAGGAAAGCATGGAGTAATATAATTCAAGCTCTGAGAGAAGAAAGCTCCAGCCAAGAACTTGATATCCAGCAAAGCTGCCCTTCAACTTTGATGGAGAAATAAGGATAAGCTAAAGTGGTTCATGTCCACCACACCTGCATTGCAAAAGATACTCAAGGTAATAATTAACACAGAAGAGGAGCAAAAAGAATCATAAACATGAGAGGTCATAAAAGAATAAAACTCACAAGGGGAATTGGTGAACACTTGAATGCTAGGAAAGCAGCAAGCATGATCAACCCAAAACCAGCAAAACCTGAAGATGAACAATGCCAAAAGTAAAGAACAAACACAAGACTCAACCTGAAAAAAAAAAAAAAAAGCAGTAGAAACACAGGAATCAGTAAATACCTCTCAATAATAACTCTAAATGTAAATGGACTTAGCACTCCAATTGAAAGACACAGATTGTCTGACCATGTCAAAAAGCAAGCTCCAATAATCTGTTGTCCACAAGAATCATCTCACAACCAAAGAGACACATAAACTAAAAGTGAGAGGTTGGAAAGACATACCAGGCATGCAGAAATCAAAGCCAAGTAGGACTAACTATTCTCATATCAGACAAAGCAGACTTTATGCAGCAATCAATCAGAAGAGATAAAGAAGGTCACTACATACTAACAAAGGAAACAATTCAGCAGGAAGAGATAACAGTTCTAAATATATATGCACTAAACATCAGTACTCCAAGTTCATAAGACAAAAACATTTGAGTATGAAGGAACAGATAGGTCCAGATACAATAATAGTGGATGCTCTCAACACCCCACTCTCATAAATAGATAGAACATCTAGGCAAAAAATTAACCAAGATATTCTAGAACTAAACAATACCATGGATGAAAGAAATGGATTAACAGACATTTTTAGAGTATTCTATCCTACAGCAACAGATTGCCCATTTTCCTCAGCAGCCCATGGAACTTTCTCTAAAATAGATCACATCCTAGGTCATAAAGCAAATTTCAACAAATACAAAAAAAATTGAAATAATCCCCTGTATCCTAACAGATCATAATGGAATAAAATTAGAAACCAAAGGCAAGGAAAATCACAAAAAACATTCAAATTCATGGAAATGGAACAAGACACTTTTAAATGATTGAGTCATTGAAGAAATTAGGAAAGAAATTAAGAAATTCCTAGATTCAAATGAAAATGAGGACACAACTTACCAGAATTTGTGGGGGACACAGCAAAGGTGTCTTAAGCAGAGAGTTTATAGCCATGAGGGCTCACCTCAGAAAATTAGAGAGATCACGGCTGGCGAGATGGCTCAAGTGGTAGAGCACCAGTTTAGCAAGTGTGAAGCCCTGAATTCAAACTCCAGTACTGCCTCCCCAAAAAAAGAGAGAGAGAGAAAAAAGAAAATTAGAGGCGGGTGTGGAGGCTGTGACTGCGTCTTCGGCTGCTAGCCTTCGTATCCAGCAGAATGGCTCTGGAGACAGTGCCGAAGGACCTGCGGCATCTGCGGGCTTGTTTGCTGTGTTCGCTAGTCAAGACTATAGACCAGTTTGAATATGATGGTTGTGATAACTGCGATGCATACCTACAAATGAAAGGTAACAGAGAGATGGTATATGACTGCACCAGCTCTTCCTTTGATGGAATCATTGCAATGATGAGTCCAGAGGATAGCTGGGTCTCCAAATGGCAGCGAGTCAGTAACTTTAAGCCAGGTGTGTACGCTGTGTCAGTAACTGGTCGCCTGCCTCAAGGAATCGTGCGGGAGCTCAAAAGTCGAGGAGTGGCCTACAAATCCAGAGACACAGCTATAAAGACTTAACAAGATACAGGACTGCCAGTGTCTTCGCTCTTCACTTTTCTACCTCTGCTAATTTTTTTTCTTGTGGAACTAAACAAGCAGAACTTCAAATAATCCCTGCCCTCCAACTCTTAAGAGGCAGCAGACTTGGGAGAACAGCGCATTGTTTTCATTTTTTTAGAACAACACATTGTGTCCCTGGGCCATTTCACCTTCTTTGGACTACTGGTGGAAGTGGGAGGGCTTGGGTTGGTAGAGTCTCAGGAACTAAATTGAGGAAAGAGTAAGATGCTGGTTTTTCTACCCATAGAAGAGCTGTGCCCCAGGACTCTGGGTCACATGCTAATAACATGAACCCCTAGAAAATTCTTAACCATAACACATGCCGTTCCTTCCTCTCCCTTTTTCTTAGCTAGGCCCAGTAAGGGCTCACTTGCTCTGTAAGCACTATGCCAGCACAGCAGAGGCCTTTCTGTGCTCTGTAGCCTGTATGAAGCCAGGGATGCTTTCCAAATGAGGGTGCTTTCTTGGGTCTCATTGAAAGATCTGCAGTCCTGAGGCAAGGTTGCCCCTCAGTGTGATGATAGTCCACTGTCTACTGGTTGTAGCCTTCTGTCTTCTGGACTTAGTATAGCAGTCTCCCTTGAAGATAACCTGAGGTTTTTTAGTGCCCTTTGCTACTTGACCCTGTTTAGTACAGTATTTCCTTCGTTGTATTTTCTTTTTACTGCTCTTCATACACTTGGCCAATCTTGCCCACCTTTTACATTTGCCTAACTGGTCTTGTTTCGGATTGTTTGTGCTTCCATAGGAAGTGGGCTGTTAGTTTTCCTCTGGCATAGTAGGGGACCTTGGGTAATGTCACATTGGCCAAAGTAAGCTGTTTTAGGATAAAAAATTTATCATAAATTCTCATATACTTAAATTTGTGCAGAAAAAAAAAAAAAGAAAATTAGAGAGATTGCAAATAAACAATCAGATGACACAACTCAAACTCTTAGAAAAATAGGAATAAGTCAGTCCCAAAAGTAGTAAAAGGAAAGAAATTATAAAAATCAGGGTTGAAATAAATGAATTGGAGACCAAAAGAATGATACAATGAATTAATGAAACAAAAGTTGGTTCCTCAAAATAATAAACAAGATCGACAAACTTTTAGCAAAATTAACCAAACAAAGAAAGGAGAAGACCCAAATTAATTTACAACAGGCATCAATGAAATTCAGAAGATTACACAGGAATATTTTGAAAACCTATACTACAGCAAACTGGAAAATGAAGAGGAAATAGATAAATTTCTTGATATATATGATCCACCAAAATTGAACCAAGAGGACAGTAACAACTTAAACAGATCTATAACAAGAAATGAGATCAAAACAGTTATAAAGAACTTCTCAAAAAGAAAAGCCCAGGTCCAGAGGAATTCACTGCTGAATTCTACCAGACCTTTAAAGAAGAACTAACACCAATGCTCATCAAACTATTCCATAAAATAAAAAAGAAGGAACACTACCAAACTCATTCTACAAAGCCAGTATTACCCTAATACCAAAATGAGGTAAAGATAAGTCAAAAAAGAAAGTTATAGACCAATATCCCTGATGAACATAGATGCAAAAATCCTCAATAAAGTATTTGCTAATAGAATCCAACAACACATTAAAAAGATCATACACATGGCCAAGTAAGTTTTTGTCCCAGAGATGCAAATCAATAAATGTAATATAACACAAACAGGATCAAGGACAAAAGCCACAAATCATCTCAAGAGATGCAGAAAAAGCTTTCAACAAAATTCAACATCCTTTCATGCTAAAAGCTCTGAAGAAACTAGAAATAGAAGGAACATTTCTCAGTGTTATAAAGGCTATATGTGACAAATCTATTGCCAACATCATACTAAATGGAGAAAAACCGAAACCATTTCCTCTAAAATCAGGAATGAGACTCTTACCACTCTTATTCAATATAGTTCTGGAATTCCTAGCCAGGAGAAAAAAATAAAAGGGATTCAACAGAGAAGGAAGAAGTCAAATTATCCCTATTTGCAGATGATATGATCTTATACCTGAAAGACCCTAAAAAATCCCATCAAAAACTCTTAGATTTCATAAACATGTTCAGCAAAGTAGCAGGATACAAAATCAATACACAAAAATCAGTAGCATTTCTATACACAAACAAACAGTCTGAGAAAGAAATCAGGAAAATAACACCATTCACAATAGCATCAAGAAATATCTAGGAATAAATTTAATGAGGGAAGTTAAAAACCTATACAATGAAAACTATAAATCACTGAAGAAAGAACTCGATGAAGACATTAGAAGATGGAAGGATAGCCCATGCTCATGGATTGGCAGAATCAATATTGTGAAATTGTTACTGGCAATCATTGTTCTCAAATGATCCTTGTGCTCCAAATGGAAGACTCCAAGCAGAGCACGCAGATGGGGTGAAGTAGAATAGCTTTATTCAGGGAGGGGAGTCACCTGTTCCTCCAGGTGAGGGTAGGGAAGAAGAAGGGCTGGGGTCTCCTGGTGAGTTGTTTTTATACCATCTTGAACTTGGAAGTGTGGAGGCAATCCTCATCACCTGGCTCCTGTGGGCTAGGGGAAGGAATCCCAGAATATCCCTAACCTAGCCTGCCACAAAAAATGGCTATACTACTGAAAGCAATCTATGTGTTCAATGCAATCCCTATCACAATTTCCATGACATTCTTCACTGAGATAGAAAAATAAATCGTTGAAGTTCACATGGAAGCACAAAAGACCGTGAATAGCCAATGACCTTGAACAAAAAGAGCAGCATGGGGAAGTGTCACAATTCCTGACTTCAAACTACACCGTGGAGCATTCTATTGGCACAAAAACAACATGAAGACCAACGGAATAGAATAGAATGGGAGACCCAATCACAAACTCACACAGCCACAGCCATTTGATTTTCAACAAAGGAGCCCAAAACATATGTTGGAGAAAAGCTAGCCTCTTCAACAAATGATGCTGGAAAAACTGGATACCCACCTCTAGAAGATTGAAACTAGATCCCAGTCTCTCACTTTGTACTAGAATCAACTCAAAGTGGATCAGAGATCTTAAGGTAAGATCTGAAACTGTGGAAGTATTACAGAAAAGAATAGGAAACACACTGGAATGTAATAACTTCATGAATAGAACTCTAATAGCTCAGCAATTAAGAGAAAAGACTGACAAATGGGACTGCACCAAAGGAAACAGTCACTAGACTGAGGAGACAGCCCACAAAATTGAAGAAAATCTTTGTCAACTATACTTCTGATAAGGGATTAATAACCTTCTGATAAGGGATTAATAACCAGGATATAGAGAGCTCCCAAAACTAGCCCCACAAAGAATCACCACCCATTGAATAAGGGGCAAGTGAATTGAACAATTCTCAAAAGAAGAAATACAGCTGGGCTGCTGGTGGTTCACATCTGTAATCCTAGCTACTTAGAAAACAGAGATCAGAAGGATTGCAGTTCAAGGCCAGCCTGGGCAAAAAAGTGAGAGCCTATCTCAAAAACCCCTAACACATAAAGTGGCTGGAGTGGTAGAGTGGTTGAGCACCTCACTGAACGTGAGGCCCCGAGTTCAAACCCCAATACTACCAACCAAACAAAACAGTGTAGTGCTGGCGCAGAAATAGACACATAGCCCAATGTTCCAGTCAGTCTGTGGATCCCCATCACGTGCTCTGCAATTGCTTAAAGATGATAGTGATTAGCAACCCAGGCTGGGAGAGCCAATATTCCTTGGCTCATGTTGCATGTAGTGTATGCTTGATAAACCTGTTTAACCATTGCCCATGGAGTGATGGACTCAATGATGGCCCCAGAGGGGGAGATGGGCTTTTGGTAGAATAAAAGATATCTTATACATCTATTTTGGTCCAAATGCTTTCTTCTCTCTCAACACATCCACAGCACTAGAAAAAGAAGCTAAACCTGAATGGTTCCTCCTCTTTCTGGATAGGCCAGCAAGAGCAGGGAGTGGACTTGGTGGGGAGAGAATGCAGCTTTCCTTGCCTTCCTTTCCATACCTCTTTCTGCAGCTGGAGAACAAGATCCAGAGGGTGAAGTCCAGATGGTGGATCTGGGAGCCCAGGAGGAGGACCAAGGGACAGACCACCTGTTTCAATTTTAGTCATGCTCAATAAAGTGACCCAGGTTTCCCTGCTGCAGGACCTCTCAGACCCTCTCTCTCAGACTGCTCTCACTGAGAACTCTAGGAGGGAAACAAATGGGAAATGTTCCCCAGAACCTTGGTCAAAGAGCATCTCAGGGCTGAATGTACAATGGCTTGACAAGGGCCCTTTACAGGCAGCCAAGATGGTCACTGACCTTGATGCTTCAGAAAAGCAGCCTGGGCAAGGGGAAGACACTCCCAAAGGGTGATCCTCCACAAGGCGCAGGGGCAGTGCTCAGATGCCATTTATTCAGGGGTCTTGAGCAGGGTCCCTGAGAGTAGAACATGCTGCCCTGGCGGCTGGTATCAGTGGTGTCCTCCTTTTCCTTTGTCATCCAACTCTGACAGGCAGCTGGGATCACAGGGTGTAAGTAGCGTAACATGCAACAGCTGAGCAATCAGAGGGAAACAGATTCATTTTTTTCCTTTGACAAAAAGCTCACAACAAGCCTCTAGACACAGGCTCATACAAAGTGATGAGAGCTAGGGGCCCTGCAGGGAAACAAACGCATTGGGTTGTAAGTGGTTTTGCATCATAAGAGCTGAGTGAAGCCCAATGCCTGAAGCACAAACCATTCTTCTTACTCCTTGCTTGGAAGATGACAACCTAATCTGAGGGATCCCAACAATGAACTGAATTTAGCATCCTTTGAATGAAGCTGTGGGGAAGAAAGTGCTACTGATGGATGAGGTCAGCCTGCTTGCTGAGCACTCATGGTATTCACAGAACTGAGTTGGAGAAAGGTGACAAGAGGCAGGGGACCATAGGAAGAATTAATTCAGTTACCAAACATTGAGCATCCAGGTTATGTACTGAGGTTCAGCAAGACCCAAAGTTCTCCTGGTCTAGGAGGGACAGGAGACCCATAACAGTGGATTAGACACCACAAATGGGGTCTCCTGGGAGCATTATAGAGAAGGGGTGTTTCCTCCAGTGGGTTTCAGGGCAGTTGTCAGCAAGTCCCACTGACTGAAGCAGAAAAATAATTTATGAAAAAAATATACTGGGGGTGAATAATAGAGTGAATTGTAAGCACATATGTAGATGTCACAATGAAGCCCCCCTTGTACAACTAATATATGTTAATAAAGATGTAAGAGATAGATAGGGAGAGAGAGGAAGGGGTGGGAGAGAGAGAGAGAGAGAGAGAGAGAGAGAGAGAGAGAGAGAGAGAGAGAGAGAGAAATGGAATTGATGAGAAAACTGGAGAATCTGTTTCAGAAAATTGATAGGAATGATGGCAACCAGAGCAACTGACAATACAAGTGCAAACAAGACCGTGCCTCCGAACTGTCTGCTCAGGACCCTTGACTGACATTGCTGTCACTGGATGCCTGTCACACTGCCAGTATTTCTGGCAGCCCCTGGAACATGGGCACCCTCCTTGGAGAGGCAAAGTCCAGGCAAGAATGTTCAGTTGGCTGAACTAGGGTTAGAGGCTAATTACTGGGGCCGGAAGACTCTCCCTTGGCCTCTATAGTGGAACATGGGGGCTGCATTTAGGGGCTGGCCACCAAATACAGACACAGGTACACAACGAGTAAGAGGAAGGTAACAGGTGTCTCTGCAAAGAAGACACCTGGATTGTGTGTCCAAGGACAGCAGGCAAACTGGGGAGGCAAAGAGAAAGCGCATGGAATGCAGGAGAGCTTCTAAGACAGAACCACATGACAGTCACAAGGTGGTGGCAAGTGGGCCCATGGGTGCTAGGACA